ATATGGTATAAGAATCACATGGGCAGTTCCATATTAATAATTTTATTAAATCAGTTAAATTTCGACCGTGCAATACTAATACTTTTGATACCCCTCTGTAAATTAGTTTCATATTATATTTTTATATATAGAGGTAACCCTATATTAATCCTGTTATGGTTTATATTCCTCACATTCTGGTATGATAAAGGGAGCATTAAATTAACAAGTCTGTAAGTTATTATTATTATAAACAAGCACCATTATTACTTTCAAAATGTTATTAGTCAAATTAGTTAATTTTCAGCCACATCAGCCTCACATTTATGTCACATAATAAAATGTTCACTTTGTTGCAGTCTGCCCCAAATAACATGTAATAGTTTAGGTATCAAATTTATAATAAACTTTTTTTTAGCTCAGTACATATGAGTTGGCTCAACCTACATATTAATATGATCTTTGTACTTTGATCCCGTGACGCATATATGGGTTGTGCACCGTGAAAGTCCCAGGCGATAGATGCTAAGGCTGATTGGGTTTAATCAAAACGTATTCCGGTTACATTTGTATTACATTCAACTTTGACCAACACCTGTCTCCCCGATTCTTATTCATTCAACCGTCTCTGTCATACTTCAAGTAGAGGATGTGTAATAAACAATAAATGTAAACAATTGCTAAACTGTAAACGGACGATCGACAAATATGAGTGTGTGGTCAATTAGCAAGTAAACGGATGTGTCATAGGGGAAGGGGGGGGAGGCCAGTGACGAAAGTTTAGCTTTCGCAAGTCGAGTATTCAATATTTTGAAACACAATATCCGGTTCCCTCATTGTCTGGTGAGTTTGTCGATATGCATGAAGCTTGCAGTCAGTGGCTTATACAGTCGAGTCGGGACTCTTAGTTATGATGGATAATTATTTGACAATAATGGTCACTAACAAAATGGCTATGTTATCCAAGTTGGGCATACATATCTTTTTTTGTCAGTTGTGATGATGATTAATGATTATCTAATCGATAATTGTTAGAGTCACGCGGGATTGGATAATGTTAATAGTATCCTTCCTTATCTTGTATATGTCCTCTGTCGAAATTTCTAGTTCTGTATCACCAGTCTATTATTATCCCTGTGTGTAGAACTGCAATATTAATATGGTTATACGCACATACTTGGAGTTTCATAATAATAAGCAAGCATTATAAAGCAGAGTTTCTTTGCGTTGCAAAAGTAGCGGAATTTATCCTCTCCCTCTCCGGCTTGTCACAAAGATCTGCACTGCACCGATCGTTTCCAAAACAGTATGCTGTATGTCAGATCATTTTATGCTGGAGTTTCATGCAGTATCGAAGAAAGAATCGGAAAATTTCCGTTGACATGCAATAGTAATGGTAATAATAGTGATAGTATCGATTACTATACCGGAATGAGATGGATTGCACTTGGAAACAGCGGGTTTCTGTTGAATGAAGATCCGTCGGGGTAGTGTGGGAGTTTCAATGGTTAGTAAAGAGTCCAAGTTTGGATATTCGATGCTGTCACGGTTTTTTCGACAGTTGTTATTATTTCTTCGTTTTCTGGCAATGTTAATAGAAGAGTTACATCACTACAAAATTTCGCAATTTTTTTTCTGATATTGTTGCTTTTGGTTTTGTTTTTTTTTGCTTACCCGATGGATTATGATTATTGTATATTAGGTTCACACGCCATGCAATCTCTTTAAGATTTGGGTTCGAATGTTCCGCACGCACAACAAGGATTTGATTGAACCAGGAAGATGCTCTCTTTTTTCACCTGTCAAAACTACAAGAGTAATGTTACACATATCTTTTACCCCTTTTCCTCAATCTCGTTTGTTACAAAACATTTTTCGTTGGAATAATTGTTGTTGTTGATCTGACGATGACGACGATGACGACGACGACGATGGAGGTTTTCTCTCATTGCCACAATATATTGTATTTTATCAATAAATAATGGCTGGATGATAATGATAATGATAATGATAATGCCGAACCATTGTAGCCAACTGCATCTTGGATAATATAGCTGTACGACCGGACATCATAATGCAAGACGTCTAAGCCAATTCTGGTCCTCCGAAATCTCTGTGTGGCGTTATGACGGTGCACCCACTGCCCCCAGTATGTTGGGTGCATAAAGAGAGCAAAGAGAGCTAAAGTGATATGCTTCGCAGATGCCAAAAAGAAAAAAGTCTGGGATAGAATGTAGGCATAGAATGTTAGGCATCGGGAGACATGTCAATAATGGGATGACATGCTAGTATACTTGTTATTTATTTATAATATGTATTTACTGTACGTCTATCGATATTAATCGAGTAGGTATTTGTTTTATGTGTGACAAATATTACATATACGTAAGCATTTTATTGGGTCGAAAAAGGGGGATGTTGGGAAATCTCACTGCATAGAATGTCACCTATTCGCTATACTATACAGACTACACAGACTAGACCTACTGATATATATTTTGGTATTTCTTCATTCAACCTCCTTAATATTGATCAAAATTTAAAGTTCAAAGGTTTCGCCCATTCCGCCTGCAATGCAAAAAAGCACAATGAAGTTGACAATATAGATAGATTAGAGATGAAGAGGAAAAAAAAATAGAGAGAATGTGTTTCAGTATAGCGATATATGATGGATGGGCGATACTCTTTTTTTTTTTTTTTCCTCTTTTTTTTTCTTTTTACCCACGCTGAATAATGAGACCATTGTTGATAACAATAACAACAATAATATATTTTCTTATCTGCTGCTTAATTGATATTAATTAGTTATTGTTACTAGTATATTAAATATACAGTAGTCGTTCAGTTGCACTGTGTTTTGTCAACATAACTTTACTTTTTGACAGCAATCGATCACACAGTCACCGGCAACAAACATTTCATCGCACATCATTGTTGCTGATAGTGAATGTCTGTCTCCGCCACATTGCATGTCGAGATAATCAATCCCCTCAAGAAACAAACCCTTTATCACATTACTCTCCGCCCCTGTCAAATTGAAACCCCCTTTGGATATATGTTCTTTAACTTACTCTCTATATTTTTGTATTTTTGTATTTTTGTATTTTTGTATTTTTGTATTTTACCCATACAATCATGATACACAGACTACCAAACCGGTCTGATATTTTCGAGATGTATCACACCACAACAGGGTCGGGCCACTTTGCGCATCGATCACATTGATAATAGAATTAACATATGATAACATATCGATTGTATCACCCTTATTTTATATGTTTATTATTATCTTTTATGTAGGAAATTTTTACCCCCCCTTTCCCTACTATAGACTACGAGCATCAAGGACCCTTCCATTCGCTATTCCCCCACACCCCCAACTCGACAGCTGACTCCTTTTAATCTATTAAAAAAAAGATTTAAATATACTCGAATGCCCAACTTGCTTCACTTGCTTGTACTCTGTTAATTGGAATAGACAATAACTGAACATTCTAGATTAAATAATTAAACTGATAAACAACGTTTTAGCTTTTGATATCTTTCGAGTGTCTAAATAATCCATCCCATTTATTATTCTCCCACTGAATTATTTGCTCGTGCTCAGTTGCCTTATCACCTATATTTTACTCCTCGTTCGCGAATTATTTATTTACATATTTATACATCCCTTCATACTCTCCCCCTCGAACTCTAATATTTTTCTTGTCACTCGCATATTCTCACACCCCCATGGGTTTCTTTCGAAAAATAAAGTCAACTTTCTGTTGTTATAGTTCTAAATACCTACTCGACGACGACGACGATGATGCCACAGTCGTCGACGAAGAAAACGAGCAACAAACGCTTCTTCATACTGAGGAAGAAGTATCAGAAAAGCCCTTGTTGAGTGACTCTGATGCTGCAGCGCTCGCACCATACTTGACTAGCCAGACCGTCGTCGTAAAAAGTGTACTGAGGCGACGACGAAGCACACAGAATACTACCGTAGGAGATACACCTCAGAGGCGATATAACGTATTATTATTTGGAGATAGTTTGACTGCTGGTGAGTATGGAGGATAGGAGCATGTGGATATGTGTGTGTGTAGTGTATGTGTGTGTGTGTAGTGTATGTGTATGTGTAGTGTGGTGTATGTGTGTATGTGTAGTGTGTGGTGTATGTGTATGTGTAGTGTATCAAGTGTGTGTATAGTGTGTGGAGAGAAAGTGTATCAAGTGTGCGCGTATGTGTTGTTTGTTGATGTTCTCTACCAGTCAGTAATCAAAGTATTTTCAATCTCGCTAAACAAATATATATGCTTACATAATAATCTGCCTCATGTTCCGTTGCCTATTCTTTAGGATGGTGTGGAGAAGACGGATATGGCGAATATCATCCATACGGATTACGAATACAAAAACGTTTCGAAGAAGAAGGATTGGACGTAGAGGTAAATTAATAGACATCATTTCTCTTTCAAACATGGTTCTACAGTTTCTTGCCTTTTATTTTCCATTTATGTTATTTACTTCAGTTAATCTGAGCTAGACCAGGAAATGATCATTGTAAATCTGGTAGATTTGAGCATATTTGGCATTAGAGTGTATGACACGATCGTCCAATTGTTTGTGTTTTCCATAGTTAACAATGGATTATACCAACATCAACAATGACGTAAACATAGACAACCATAACTTTAACCTTTATTATTTTTAATTTCTGATAAATTACGTTACGTTACACTAACCACAATCTTATGTCTCGAATCTTCTATCAGGTCACTGTAAGCGGTGTCCCAGGTGAATGCTGCGCTAACATGGAAGAGCGTCTAAAGCGTGAATTGGAACAACCAGGCAAATGGTATGACTGGGTTATAATACTCGGAGGAACAAATGACGTATTCCAGGGGTACTCTGCATGGGATATATTTGAATCATTGAAGAAGTTGTATGCATTATGTTCAAAGCATGGTGCAAGAGTCTTGGGAATAACCATCCCGGAATTCGACTTGGTGAGTTTAATTGAAAGCGACAAGAAGAGGAGAACTATTCAGAGTATGTGGTGGCAATTTCAATAATTAACGTGATCATTGTATTTGTAGGAGGAAGCAAATAAACTCGACTATCAACGTCGTATAGTAAACGAGCACTTGAAGTAAGTAGTGGTTACAACATTACGACATTGCGACATTGCAACATTGCAACATTGCGACATTGCGACATTGCAACAACTGTACTCTTTTTTTTTTTTTGCATAATCTCATGTACCGTTTTTCTTCCCTCTCCTCAGCGTCTTAAATAATAGTACAACGCGTAATACATACACACTCTTCCTTCTCGACAAATTCTTGCCTATGCATTCATTAACACCAGAGCAACGCAAATTCTACTGGAATGAGGATGGAATGCATCCAACTGAAGAGGGATACGATTTAATGGGAGATATGGTGTGTAACATGATATGACATTTAAAATTGTTGTCATCTGTTTAATATAGTTATTGACCATCAGACTTGTCTTTTTTATTTCATGTCGTTATTAGATATTTGATGTTATCTACAAAGAGGGCAAATGGAACTAATATCCCAACAAGACTAAATGCAAATTCACGCTGAGCGACTTACATTGCCATTGCATCTCACTAAACCGCATACTTTTACACTTAATACACACTCTACATCATATCCGTCACCTCTTCTTGGGGGACTTTTTCCATAACTTCTATATAAAAATCCGATTTAAATAATTAAACCCCCAATCGGTTGGTTTTAGACAAATCAATCGCGTAAATAGCAATATATATATACATATTAGTAAATTAAAAAATTACATCTCGGGTTTCGCTTTTCTTTTCTTTTTCCTTTGCTGATTACTGTACTAAAAAACCGAATAGACTAGTGGTATTATTGGGAGTAATGAGAGTTACATATAAAAAAGTTTGGATTGATTTTTTGTTTTTTTGTATTATACAGAAAAAAAAAAAAGAAAAAAATTTTTTTTTCCCTGCAGAACAAATTGTGTGTGTGTGCTTTGAATGTTGGAGAGTCCTCGGTTACTTTTTGGCAAGTGAATGTGGAAAATAATAAACGTCTCTACGTACACGTAAAGGTGCTAACATGGATATGGTATGCCGAAATTGACTTGCCTCCCTGACTGCATATTTTTGTTTCATCTTGATCATAATTTTTTTTCCCCTCAAAGATTTTCTTTCTTCTTCATCACATGATGCATGCAAGAGCAACATCTGCATTGTCACAAGAACATCGAGTCTATAATAGTCTTTATTGCATCGCTATTGTCGTTTATGTTTCTTCATTGTCTTTACTAATACTATTCAAATAAATACATCTCATCTCATTAATACTGTGACTAGTAAAAATTGGCGGTGTGGCTGCATGATAAAAAAAACATGACCGTTCAGGTTTATTATTCTGGAAGATACTTAGCCGTATGCATGCAAGACCCCACTTAGTTCAACAAGCTTCAATATGATGACAGATGCTTTTTTTTTATTTGCGATTATCTGTTTGCATAAATTAGGTAAGTCCCAAGGTGAACGTAAACGCCACATAATATTTAAGGTTAGATGCCGTGATAATTATGTCGCGCTTTGCATATTTTGGATATACTAAGCGAATGCATATTCGTTTGAGGCGAATCTTTGTTTGAATTTATATGTATAAGCATTACAATGTGATTGACGCTCTATTATTTATAACGAGTTCCATTATACAAAGCAGTTAATTCGCTCACGTTAGGCGAATAAAAAGTCTCAGCTATTAATTCAGACAGTCATAATAATGGCGATGCTTATCAAATGCAATTTTCACGACGATATACATGCAAACTAAACTCTTTGCAGTAGTAAATGTCATTCACAATAACAAATTTTACAAAGACAGAGTCTTGCTTGAAAAAAAAAAGGTTTACAATTAGAGCAGTATTTTTTATTGTCAAAAAAGATAAAAAAAATCTTTACTCTAACTAGCATTAAAACGTTGGCAATTAATGCTATGCGCAAATTTTTAAAGTAACCGACCGTTTCAAGCCGTTTGGCAACAAAATTTAGCAACTAAACACTGTAAATTACTATTGACCGCATTGACACTCTTTTACGTACGTAATAATGGTCTTTCATTGCTGTACAATCAACAGTTCAAATCTCATGTAATAATATATTCTTGAAGCGTGTAGCTTTATTATTAACAAGCAACTTGTTCATAATCACCGCCTACCTTGACTCTTTATGTTTGTTACTGAAAGGAAAATTCATTCTCTGTAACAAATAAGAGTATACTTTATATAAACAAAAGTTTTGATAGAAGTCAAGCAAGCCTATTTGATTAGCAAGCCAGTAACCTACAGCTCAAAACCACATTCTTATAGTTGAGTTTCGCCCAGGGGTTTTCATCACTGCGTAAAAGCTAACAGGGTTGTTTTAAGAAAGGCCTTTGTGATGATGGTCTTTGGTTTAAATTTGAGGTAACATTTACAGTATCTTTTATACCCAAGCTGCGAACAATGTCTTGAAATGTTGAATCTTTCCGTGTTTTTCTAAAACTCTCAAATATAAGCCACCGAACAAAAATTGCAATGGAAATAAAGCTAACCCACGTAAGTGTAGACATCTTGAGTACCGTTTGTCCATAGAGTTTAACCCAAAGCTTTTGTTTTTAAAGATGTAACAAGCGAAAACTAAAGGCAATTAAACTAATTGGCTTTTACGTCACGGCGATTAGAGGCAATAAATGTGCTTTTGTTACAACTTATTTATCGACATAAATTATACTAGCTTACATTATTTTTTATTAGCATTCTACCAAGAACAGGTGTATTATTCGATCAAAAGGACAGCGGGCAAATAATTAGACGCGGGCGGGCGCGTGTCTTGGTGTATATTTATCTTGACTGTTGCTGGAACGTGCTATCTATACATGCTATTATCAAACGTCATATTTCGGTAAGTTAAATATAATTTTTCCTACAATCAATAGTTATTTAATATTTCAAAGGTATTAATTCCAGTTCTCTGGTAACGTACCGGTAACAGAAACGTAAATATAATCCATCGATTCACTCTGGCTTGGCGAGCACAATTAAGCGCATCAAACTCGTTTCGAGCACAAAGAAAAGAATTTACCAAGAACTGTTTTGTACTATTCTTTAACTTAGTGGCAGAACGCAGATGTACTTATTTATAGCCTGTACGAGCAATAACGTTGAAAAACCTTGGAATTGCCTTTAAACAACGTTGGCATGAACAACACTCATGGTTAATCTGGACACAAAATAACAATACGCAAAATAGTGAGTGATATAAAGTATTGGAAATTGCATGACGACTATAAACTCGACTATCGGCAAAATAAGCAATCCAATCACAAGGTTTGAATATTTTCAGAAAATTGCTCTGCCTTTATTATCAAACGTAGTGCTTTAGAGTCGTATAATTTTTAATTAAAAGTCTCAGTGACAGCGGATCTCTCGGATACACGCAGATTCCTCATCTGAATATTACGCTCAATCACGCCTGTGTGTATTTGTAAATCAATTCAGAGTTCCATTAAGGTTCAGGGTTGGGCTATTCTTAGTAGTTATTTGTCTACACTTTCCACGTGAGTTTGCAGCATGTAATTCTTGGGCAACATTCTCCATTCAATTAATTTTCTCTACACAAAACCAGGTAAAATGAGTATTTAACAATTATAATTTATATATAGGACAAGGACAGAATATTAATATACAAACCTCCAATTCTTTCAAGAGGCAACAGGGACCTTCAAATAAGACACTCTTCTTCAATTGATGGAAGTACCATTTACTGAGTCTCGCATTAAGACTGCAAGTTTGACTTTGTTCAAATATTTCTTCTTTGGTAATGCAAGTGATATTCCAAGTGGACTTAACCCTTGCAACCTCTCCATACAAGGCTTAGAATTTACTGGATGTCTTCACCAGGGTGCCTTTCATATCAACCTTTCGACCCATATGAGCTTTGACAAAGGGATTTGCATTCTCATTTGAACAAATCGTCTGAGTCTCTCCCCTATATTTATATTATTAGTATGCACATAATAGTAAACACATTTTTTAATAATATGTATTTTGTTGTAAACAAACTCACAATAACATACCAATTATCATGTATTAATGAATGGTCCATGAAAGCGTTGAATAATAATAAAGGATACACAGTAACAACTTGTGTTCTTCTTCCGTCTTTTCTCTGTGTTAGTGTTTAGACATATTATAAATTCTAATAGAAAAAAATTTCATTAGATATCTGAGTAATCACATACTAATACTTACTGGACATTGATAAGTAAAATCTTACATAAATTGTATGTTCTTGTGTATTTTTTCAACAATCACACCATCTGTGGAATTACAATTAGAATAAAATTCTGCTGAAGATAATCTGGAGTTTGTTGTGGCAAGTTTATCAATTTCATGCTGAGAGAAATCCACACGCTCTGCTGTGTTAAATCAAATCAAAGATACCCCAATAATCTAATCTATTAAATAGCAAGCAAAATCTAAGAATAAGAAATTTATTATTTAATCATGTTGAATCACAATGACAAGCTTATGTTATTATTCGACGTGACTTAGAAATTTTTGGCAAGGAAGTCAGCAAACTTCGTCCAGCTCTGGTAATTAGTAATAATATTCAAATTCCTGATATTATTGAATTTAATGGAGATGTTTTTTAAAAATTAAAATGTCTGGGTTGAAGTCTATTATAATAATCATGGTTAAATTAGCGTGCTGGAAATGTAATTATCAATTTTGGACTTTAACAAAAGCTTACATTATCTATTATCAAGAAAATGAAAATTCTGGAGCAGGAAATAATAACGGAGAAAGTCCCGAATCTACTCCTTTTAATAATATCAATTCTGCTCTCCAAACATTGTTCCTGGGATTGGCAACACTGCTTCTTTCAAACTTGATTTATTTATTACTATCGAATCAATTAAATTGTCCTCAAAGAGACTACTAACAATTATTGTGTAACATCAATCAAATTTTATAAAGCGCATAATGTAGCGATGTATTATACACAGTGAAACTCGATAAGTCGGACACTCGATAAGTCGGATTTGGCTTAAGTCGGACGAAATCTCTCAGCCCCT